GTTTCCTCTATTGGCAGGCAGGTTCTTTACCACTAGCACCATCTGGGATGCTTCAAGGGTATGTATAATTCAGTTGAGCTGATTATTCTCACACTGTTGCCACTTTGAAGACATCCAATCCTGATGTTTCAATTCTAACAGGAAAAGACAGGCTGTAAGTATATAACATTACCCATAGACTATGGATGCATACACAAGTAGTTAAGTCCATAAAACAAGTGATACAGTTATCTCTGGAGAGGGAAAATGGAATAGGACTAGGGGTGATGCCAAAACTCAGCCTCTGTGCATCAGTGCCAAATTGAATATCAAACACAAAGTTTTGGGTGAAGTAGAAAAGAAGAGCTTTATTGTCTTGCTGGGTAAAGGGAACACAGTGGGCTAATGCCCTCAAAACTGTGTGCCCCAAGTCAGGGAGGATTTGGTGAAGTTTTATAACAATGGTTCAAGGGTAGGATTGCTGATGAGGATCAGAGTTATGTTTATGGCCTGCATTGTTTTAATTTGGCCTCAGGCGTCTTCTGATGAGCTTCTGTGGTTCTCAAATTGTGACCTTCTCTGGAATAAAGAATGTGCAAGTAGTAAACATCTCCCACTTGTTGGGGGTTTTAGTTCCGTGGAAGAGCTCAGATATTGTTATGTGTATCCCTTGAGGCAGAATCATGACCCTGCACACTACTGTTAAGTTGTTCCTGTCTCTGCATTCCCTCCATTCCTTGATTAGCAACTGTTTGAACCTGTTCTTTGGAACTCAGAGGTCATAGAGGCGAAGTCTATACTGTACAAACAAGAAACGGGAAACATGGAAAGGCTTCCATGTCCAGGAGCCCCACATAGTCCTGCTTGGTTTCAGGGGTGGGAGCTATTAGGTACTATCTTTGGGATAATGAATTTGAGGCAAATATGGCAAGACCGTGATAAACCTAGGTGTTGGTGTCCTGGCATTATTTAATGAAATCAGCAAAAGCTACAAGTTAAGGCTCCCAGGCTCTATCATCCTTGCCCCAGGATCTCTTCCATTCTTTACAGCATATCACTGAATTTCAGTATAGTTCAAATCAGATTCTGGATCTAGGCTACCTGGTTCAAATGTGGAGTCCACTATATAATTCCATCTACTTTATTAGTAAACTGCTTAACATCTCAGTACCTTATTAGACCCATCAGTAAAAAGGGGATACTAGGACTTACCCTGCAAAGTTATGAGAATTGCTTGATACATGTGAAGCACTTATAATGGAAGACAGGTATTCTAACATAGATGCTCTAAGACAGACAAAAGATATTAATTTATGTGCAAAGACTTTTGCCAACCCCAAATCCACATACTCTGGTGGCATATTTTCCCCCATAAAATAACTATTAGTTCTCCTCATATCCCTTTTAATTTGATTAAGAACTGTTGCTACTGCTAAGTTGCTTCAGTCGTGTCCTACTCTTTGTGACCCTATGGACTGTAACCTGCCAGGCTCCACTGCCCATGGGATTCTCCAGGCAAGAACACTGCAGTAGGTTGCCATGCCCCTCTCCAGGGAATCTGCCCAACCCAGGGATTGAACCTGCATCTCATGTCTCCTCCAACAGGCAGGCAGTTTCTTTACCACTAGTGCTACCTGGGAAGTTTAAGTACTAGATGGAATTATCCTTATGCATATTTTTGATCAAAGATGTATGTATTTAAGTATATATTTATGTATATACACATAAAAATATATACAAAAACATACACACATATAAATCTCTTTAGCTGTTTAAATTCAGATGGCAGTACTTCAGTCAAGGAGGGGCTATTCAGTTACCCCAATCTAATTAGTTTCTGCACTTCAGATACTTAGTAGTAAGGATGGTGAACATTTTAATTGAAGATATATCCAAATATATTCAATTCCTGAGTTTGAAGAGCACAGGATATGTGAATATGTTTACGTGCACACATACACACACAAGTTCATTTAAAAAAGTCAATCCATCAGAGTTCGTAGGCAAGAAAATATTAACAGGAACCAATGAAGCTATAAACACTGGGCAGTATGGTACAATGCAAAGAATGCTTCTGGACTCAGCAAAATATAGATATGAAACAGTGCTGTGGTCCAGCCCAGCTCAGGGCTCAAAAATTGGTGACACCAAATACAGGGTGCTTTGGTGGGGGAACTGAATGGCATAATCTGTAAGAAGAAATTAGATCTCCTATACCACTCTGCAAAAAAATGTATTCCTATACCCCCTTTGTTCTCAAGAAGTTACTTGATAACGATCCACACAAATGAAGCAGTAAATCTTAAAAAGGACATGAGACACAGAAAATGGGCCATCAGGGAATCCAACACAGAGGAGTGTACTAGTTTTGCCTGACTCTTGGACTGTGGCCTCTACGCCCCTCTGTCCATAGGATTATCCTGGCAATAATACTGCAGTGGGTTACCATTTCCTGCTCAAGGGCATCTTCCTGGCTCAGAGACTGACCTGCTTCTCCTGCACTGGCAGGTGGATTCTTTACCACTCAGCCACCAGGTGAGCCCCCAACATAAGAGAGACAGAAGTAATTCTTAAGTCGGTGTCATCCCAGGATGACAGCTGTGCACTAGCCACAGAGGTAAAAAGTTCAGAATGGACAAAACAGATTATTGCTTCAGGAGCAATTTCTTCAAGATGGATGAAACTGATAAACAACTGGTATGTCTGAACATAGAGTTTTGGGTTTAATTAGCAATAAGTACACAGAAACCTATGCAAACAAAGTTAATTACTAAGTCACGGAAATAAAAAGGCAGTACAGGGTAAGAATAACACATCACTTAGCTGTACAATGTTACATAATCTCAATCGTGCATACATTCTTAATCACAGTCAATAATGAAAACACTGAATTACATACGCTGGGAAAAGGGGAACAGGAAGGGAAAGTGTAATGGCTGGGAAGCAGCAGACCAAAGTTTTATATTAGGAATTAAAGAAATGCCTCAAACTGGAAACAGGTAAAGCAATATAAGCATGCTATTTGGAAATACAGTAATAAATAACAACAACAAAAAATCAGTGAAACAGCTCACTCTGGGTACAGGAAATAGAAGGTCAAGGGAATGGTAATTTTTATTAGAAAAAAAGATTTTTATAGACCTACTTGAATCTAAACTATGTGTATTTATTTGATTCTGACTATGTGAAACCGTAAGACAACAGATCTCCACCCACTGCCCCCCACCCCCGGAAATGCAGTATGGTGCCTGATTCATAAAAATTCATAAATGTTATAATGATAAGACAGACGACAGCATTTTCCTATCACCATTACACTCATGCTACGGATAACAATGTTTCTTCTGCTATAAATGCTACTCGATCCTTTTAAAACAAGTTATTTACTATGCTTGGAATATCTGTGCATGCTTAAGGAAGTAAAAAATAAAATGTTCAAAATTTTTCTTGTACTTAAGCAAAATATCTAATTTTATACAATTTAAACACAACTTTCCACTTTAGTAATAGAAACAATGAAACTATTTCACTTCTGACATTTAACAATTATAAGACTTCAAACTCCCCAAGACATGCACTACAACCATAGAATAGATTCTGTCATCAATATGATGGTCTTGCATCTTACATATTATGTTTGTACTTTAAGTCTTATTTACCAAAATAAAAACAGGTTAAGATAATGAACAGGCAGTTCATACAAAAAGAATACAAACAGCCAATACTAACAATGCCATAGCAACCTCATTTGTAATGAAAGAGACACTTTTAAAATATAAGGTACCATTTTTAACCTATATTGGCAGAGATTAATTTTTTTTTTTTTAAAAGATCCTATCTACAGATGACCAGTCTGTAGGTTGAGAGGGGTAGGGTGGTGAGAGAATGATCAAACATATAACACTAACTGGAAGTATAAATTATGCACCTTTTATGGAGAACAATTTGGCAATGCTTATTGAAGCTCTAAATATATTTAATTCTTTTGGACATAATTAAACAGGTACTTCAAAATGTGGCTACAAGGATATGCAATAAACCACTGCAACATTTAAAATGCCCAGCACAGAGGACAGAGTGAGTCAGCTGTGGCTCACCTTCCTCATGGCAGGAATGGGCCTCCCCTAGGTATCCCTCCCCCAGACTCGGCTTTAGGCTTCTTCCTTACCAAGAGTTCCCTTTCTACGGAAGCCAAGAGTGTCAAGTTCAGCTTTCTCATGACCTGATCTGGGTCAACAGAAACTCTGTGGAAATGTTCTGGGGGCACTTAAGAGGAAAAAACCTTTCTCACTAACAGAACGTGAGAGGCAAAAGAACCTTTTCTGCCTTTCAGATGCATGAGGGAGACCAGCCTAAAGCAAAACAAATAAGCTAAGGTGGAGGCAAAAAAAGGCCCTGATGGCAACTCTAAACTGTTTGTTATGTGACACAATAAACGTCCTTGGTTACTAAGTCAGTTACAGTTGAACCGTATTACCTCTGGTCAATTGCATCTTGATAGTAGCTGGAAAACAGAATACTTAAGCAGCACTAGAAGTTATGCTACACCAACAGATTTATGGACCTCAGATGTAGAGTCAAGAGAAAAGTTAAATATAGTATGGTCTATTAAAAAAAAAAAAAGGAGTAAGTATATTAATAGGGAATCATTTGCCAAGAAAAACATCTGGGAAGATACTCCATATTTTAAGGACAGGTACCTCTAAAATAGTTATCTCTTGAAAAATAGGAATTTGAACATTCTCTATTTTGTGTATTCTGTCTTATTACTTTAAGACTCTACCATCGATTTCTATTTTTTTTTTTTTTAGCAGCAAATCCAATGTGATTTTGGGGAGGAAGAAGAGGTAAACATGTATTCTAATCATCTATCTTGATCTGGGAGTCTGCCTTTTAGGAACAGTTGTTTCTTCTTTTTAAAAATGTTTTGTGAAATAAAATTTGATAGTCTCAGGCATTTATTTTTTAGTGAATACAGAAGACTACAGTTTTCACTTCCCTTTGTTACTCAGAAAATCATATCATGACTTTGTACCATTTCTTATGGAAATCTCTTCTGTAAAGCAAAAACAGTCCCAAAACGAAGGATCTTCAGGGGTCATAGGAACTGCAGACGATATTAAATCATTAAAGGTGAGAATAGTAAACTGCCTCTGGGTTGCTTTAGACTCATCTTGAGATGTAACCTAAAAGGGGGGGAAAAAAACCCTTAGATTACCTCAAAATTATGTGTATTAATCTTATGGTCAATTTTATAATTAGGAAAATAAGAAATCAGTAATCACATTTCAGTAATATAAAGTTACACTTCAATAACATTAAACAACATAGTGGGATTTTAGTAATTGTTTCTATTTCTTCTATTAGTGTTGTCAATATAAACAAATCAAGAATAATATGAAATAATCTGATTCTTAAACTTTTGTAGATAACAACTGCCTGTGGTATTTGTTTAAAATGTAGATTTACTGAGCCATACGTCCAACAATTTTGACTCAATAGAAAATGATCCTCAAACAGATAACTTTTAACAAACAGGTGGATTATTCTGACAGGGAGAGACCACCAGGTAAACTTCTGAGAAATACTCTAGAGGGTGCATCTAATAAAATTCCCATAACTACTTAGAGATGCAGCACTTCATTAGTAAGTGATTCATTCAACACTAAATCAAAATTATATCTTACACTCTGTGATACAGCCCTTATTCATAACTCAGCCCAGTGTGGACTGTCTTTAACAGTCTATACATTCTAGAAAAGACAGTACTTGGGTCTTTTGCAGTACTTTTACAGGGTCAATATCTGTTTCATATGATTTAATTCTCATTACTATGTTGATATGGTTGTTAACTCAATTCTATAGATGGGGAAACTTACAAGCTTACAACACAGCTTAAATGGTAGACTTGGGCCTGGAACCCTTGCCCTTTTCTCACTATGATACTGCTGCCCAAACAGACTCTCTTCCAGGAAAATACAGTACTGCTATGTGCAAATGTTACAAGAAATATAAAGCTCTATGGAATCATAAGGTATTTGCAGAAAGGGCAATGCTGAGACTTCAGCATACAAGGACAGCTAACCTGTTTCAGAACATCTTCAGATAAAAGGAGTCAATTTTAACATGTCATCCCTTTTAAAATAAAACAATTTATGAAGAATTTTACTCTTTTTTAATCTATAAAAGGCATAACCTGTATTGAGCTTTTATCCTAGAAGTAATGATGCAAACATACTGATCACACTACATTCCCTTATGCAGATTCCCTAAAATAATCATATGCATTTAATTTTAATTATTATAACATTATCAGTATTCCTTAAATAAATACTTCTATAGAATCACAACTGTATGTAGACTGAGAGTCAAGACCCTAAGGTTTCTCTTTTAAAAAATTTCCCAACTTATCAATTAACAGGAAAAGAAAGTAAAAACATTTTAATTGGAAGAATTGATGTTATGCTAGAATATATCATAAGGTCTCTCACACGTTTGACACTTTGGGAATAATTTAGGAGAGCACTATAAAAAGGGGAAGATCAATTTGACAGATAATCCCATTATTCACTAACCCTCAACTTAGTACCATTATATTCAGTTCAGTTCAGTTGCTCAGTCGTGTCGGACTTTTTGCAACCCCATGGACTGCAGCAAGCCAGGCCTCCCCATCCATCACCAACTCCTGGAGTTTACTCAAATTCATGCCCAGTGAGTTGGTGATGCCATCCAACCATCTCATCCTCTGTAGTCCCCTTCTCCTCCCGCCTTCAATCTCTCCCAGCATCAGGGTCTTTTCCAGTGAGTCAGCTCTTTGCATCAGGTGGCCAAAGTATTGGAGTTTCAGCTTCAGCATCAGTCCTTCCAATGAATATTCAAAACTGATTTCCTTTAGGATGGACTGATTGAATCTCCTTGCAGTCCAGGGGACTCTCAAGAGTCTTCTCCAACACCACAATTAGAAAGCATCAATTATTGGGCACTCAGCTTTCTTTATGGTCCAACTATCACATTTATACATGACTACTGGAAAAACCATAGCTTTGACTAGATGGACCTTTGTTGGCAAAGTAATGTCTCTGCTTTTTAAATATGCTGTCTAGGTTGGTCATAACTTTTATTATATTCAAGACAGACCCACTTCACCAGGAAATAAACCATTGTTAAGATGACCAAAATAGTAATTATCTTGAATTTCTATTGAAAATATGAATATTGGAACAGTGTAGTACTGTTTTTTGTAGTACAGAATTTTTTCTTTGTAATATTTAAGTGTATTTGAATGTGAAGTAGCATATTTTAAAAACATTTCTGTGAAATCCCAAATGATGTTAAGGATTAGATAATGAACACTTCTAAAGCCTATCATTAAAAAAAAACCAAAAAGCTAAAACCTCTACCTGATATCAAACAAACGATTATTTCCATCAACAACAAATTCAACTTTAACACATGCTTTTTAAGGGAAAAAAAAAAGAGCAAACAGAGAAATCTTACATTCTGATGTCTAGATCCATTGGGTTTCCTAAGAGCTACTGCAACAAAATGGTGCTCATCTATTTTGCTTTCCTGAGAAATAAAACATGAGTAAACAAAGAATACTAAATACAGAAACTTAGATATAGTTCTATTTTCATCTAAAAAAATCTCACAACCCACCACCACACACACATATATATTCACTTCCCCTGAGTAGTTTAAGATAAAGTCACATACATTTTGGCCCTTTACACTGAAATATTGCAATGTATTTTCTAATAGGGACACTCTCACATACCCACAGTAGTTAATAACGTCAATAAATTTAACATTGAAATAATACTTAAATCTACTCTCTGTATTCCAGATTCTGTGAATAATGTCCTTTATACCATTTCCCCACCTTCAGTATAGGAACCAGTCTGTGGTGTATTGCATTCAGTTGCCATGTCTTGCTAAGTGTTTTGTCTTTTATGACACTAATATTTTAAGATACAAGCTCCACTCCCCACTTTTTATTAATAAACACTGCTTATTTTTTGTCTGATGGCTCTTATGATTATTTAGATTATAGATTCTTAATAGGAATACCATGTGGATAAAGCATCATACCTAGAAGCATGTCTAGAGAGCCATCTGCCCTCATTGGTGATGTTAGTTTTGTACATGCTTAAAGTGATTAAAAAAAAAAACCAGTCTGCAACATTGGTTTATAAGCATTTAGTTAACTACATATTACAGTTTAAGGAAAATCATGTGGAAACTCATAGGTACAAGTTAAAAAATAAGCAATTTCCTATCTTCCCTTATGTGTGAGACAAATGGAGAGGGGGCTTTAAAATAGACACTGAGGCAGTTACTAGAGAAAAGTATGAACAACTATTAAAAACTAAACAAAATTTCACTGAGAAGCCACTTTACTAAGAAACCAGTTTACATAAGAAATCAGTTGAAATAGGAAACTACAATCAGAAATGTTAGAGACTTTTCATCCTTTATCCTCCTCTGTGTATCTTCACACTTTAAGATGTCCAAATTTGTAAAAAACATAAGAAATTCAAAAGAGATAAATTTAGGAAAATATTTCAAGAGAAAAAAATAACTAAGTATGAGAAAGATTTAATAGGCTAAAGTTTGTTATAACATTATAAACAGAACTATTCTTTTTGAACACGGTCCTCCCATTCTTTACATTGAATATATTGATAATACAAACACTGTAACACAGATGTGTTTTGGCTATAATTACTTTTGGAAAACTACTTAGATAAGCAGTTTTGTGGTGTCTGTATCTAAGGTGGAATATCAGTGTTAACCATGGGCAGCAGACCATTTTCATTCAGTCTGTCCTCTAAAATGCCAAGGTACCCTGCTCAATTTGTCTGTTTACCTCATAATGAGCAAAAATTCAATGAGACTGACTTCAAAATAAAGATTCACCATATCTACTAACCCCTCATCAACATCATATAAATATGAAATTTAACACCGCAAAACTAAAGAATTTATTTGACAAAGATTCCAGTTATCAAACATTAATATTCGATGTCTCACCAGAATAAAAGTTCTATACAATTAACTTTGCCCTAAATCCCTTGTGCCTAGTATGTCTATAATATTAGTTGAAAAAGGAAATGAAAGTAGCAAGCTAGCTAGCTAAAGTTAAGGCAATACATTCAATACTACTGAACTTAAGACTTAATTTTAAGACTTTCTAAACTTAAAAACTTTTTTCTAAGCTTATAGCTTTTTATTCATAAAATTATGAATAGCAAAAATTTCCTAAAAATCACCAACCCAAAGAAACAATATTTTATTTTTTCAAGAGTTAGTTTAGCATTAGACTACAAAGACTAATCTGCTTCAGTTAAATTGTATGTCATTTTCTTAGTATAATTTTACTTTGTTTATAAGGTAAAATACAAAGTTTAACTTAAAACATTGAAGTTTTACAATGCTTTTCCAGTGGTAAAGTGCTGAATAAAATCTGTCATAAATGTCATTCTTTCTACTCTTTAAAACGCCTCCTTTCAAAAGTAAAGCAAAGAATTTGTTTCATCTAATGTCATCGTTTTAAACTATGACGGTAAATTTAACTCTCCAAATAGAAACTGGTTATGAAAATTGAGAGCCTATGAAAACACAAGATTCCTCTTGGTATAAGAATTTGTACTTCTAGAGTATTATTTTTTCAGGTGTGAGATACATGTGTGCCTACACAGTTCCCTGGGTTGTGTCTGACTCTGTGTGACCCTACGGACTGCAGCCTGCCAGGCTCCTGTGTCCATGGGATTCTCCAGGCAAGAATACTGCAGTGGGTTGCCATGCCCTCCTCCAGGGGATCCTTCTGATCTAGGGATCAAATCCATGTCTCTTCAGTCTACCTGCATCGGCAGGCGGGTTCTTGACCACTACTAGCACACCCTGGGAAACTCCATGAGATACATCTCTCTTCCCAACTGCGGGTACTCCCTCATTCACTACACCTCACCAGGCAATGTAATGATAACACTGTTTGTTATAATCCAGCTTTTAGAACCCTGGGTCACATCAAGTATCCAGTGTGGGTGAATTCCGAAGGGGAGGAAAGGCAAGTGAAGATCACTTACACCACAGGTGTCCGCTGTGATCACAGCCATCCCTCCACTGCATGCCTAAAGGCTGGTTCTTTATCTCGTGTGGGTACTCAGAGATGCCCCAACAGCAATTCCCATCTGTGTTCCCTGACTCTAGACATGCCTCCCCTGACTCTAGGCTCATCATTCTCCCCTCAAACCCTGGCTTCTGGCTGTCCATACGACCAGACTCGTTCTGTTAAGTTCACTCTCTCTTCCCAGGCCTGTTTACAGTATAATAAATACTCCACACTTAAATATACATGTATCTAACATATTATTTGTATATTTTCCTAACTGGTCCACTGAACGGAAAAAACACTAAAGTGCATTCAATTCAATGAAGAATTTTTCTTCCATAGATGTTTTCAAATGCGCCCTGCAGGATCTCCATTCCCAGTTCCTGGACAAGCTCTGAGGCAAACCTGATAGCTCCTCAGTCACTTTCAGCTTTAAAAAAAGAAAATCCTATTTCAATTCTTAAGACATATTCTTCCTGGCCTCACCTTCCTCTGGTTTCTTTCAGGCAGGTGGCAGAGTGGAAAGCAATGGAGAACAGGCAAAGTAATGATCAACACTGTTGCAATCCACTGTTTAGAACACTGGGTCACATCAAGTATCTGAAGGCTAGCTTAGTGGGCATCTGAGGAATTTTCAGAGAAATACTACCTGCTCCTCTGCCCTGTACCACTGCATGGGCCTAGCAGTGCATTTACGAGCTGAATTCTTGTATTTCCTACCCTCAGCAATTAATACACAGTAGAATGCCCACTGCCTCTTTTCTTTTGGAAATCCTCTTAGGTATCTTTTCAAGATACTTCAGGCCCTTTTTCTACAACATCTCACAGGCCCAGAGGAATTCAGACATCTTTATCAACTAAAAAGTTGAAGCACAGCTGGCCCAATCACTGATTCTTTCCTCCTCACCCTGCGACTAGGTCTATTCCATCTGGCACCATTAAAAATAAAGGAGTCTCCATGAATGAAATGGCTGAAATCTGCCCCCTTCATAATGAAAAAAAAAATTTCTAACTGTATTAAAAAACACAGTATGCTAAATATAATTTACTCTTTAACTGACAGAATTCCTATCTTACTTGGTATGTTAGCAATTTTGCTTTCTGCCTTTGGATCACCTAACACTACTTTCTGTCATTAAAAAAAAAAAATATATATATACTTATTTGGCTGCATTGGCCATCTTCCTTGTGCTGTGCGGGTTCTTCTGTTGAGGTGCCGGCTCCAGCTCAAGGGGGCCCGGCGGTTGCGGCCCTCAGATCTCTGGGCAGAGATCAGACCTGTGTTCCCTACGCTGCAGGGTGAGTCTTTGACCAATGGACCACCAGGGAAGCCCCCACTTTCTTAATTTACATGTTGGTTATTCTTCCTCGGTCTCCTCTCCACCCCACCTTTAAACAGCATTCTCAGGACTGGACCAGGTCTTTCTAAATTCTAATTTAGGTACTCACTGCTGCAACTGTAACTCCCATGGTTTCAGCTATCACTCACATGTTAATGGTTACCCTTTTTCCTTTAGCCTAGTCTCTCTATTCGCCTGCTCAACACCTTCACCTAGATGTTTCTATGGTATCTCATACTTAAATCCCACTTGTTTTCTAATATTCAGTATCTAAACAGACAGTCCTGTAAGTCACAGAATTGATAACTTCTTTGACACCTCACTTCCTTAACCTCCGTATATCATCATACAGAGAATGTGGTCTTAAAATACGATTCTGATCTTACAATTCTGTATTTACAACTTGTTAAATTCCCTTGAGAAAATGAATGAACATCTCCTCTTTTATATACTCATCATGAATTCTTTATTCTGGATACTGATGTTCTCTGCACACAATTCAGGTGATGACCGCAAGAACCACCACATTATAATACAGACCATTTGGCTGGGCTATGGACACTTGATACCAGTTGTAACACACTTCCTTGGCTACGTCTGGTCAAGAAAAAGGCAACTAACATCCAACCTAAGCCATGGAATCTCTTTTCCGGAGCTTTTACGGCTTGAACCAATGAGTTCACCAATCTCTGCGGGGTTTTTAAACGGTAAATTGTTACACGTAAGAGTGGTAGAGAGTCATGCTTCCTGCCACATAAGGAACCTTAACTAGATAAGGTTAAGAAAGCTGGTGTATAGAATGAGAAATGTGGGTGGGAGAAAACTGAAGCCAGGAAGGCAAAAGATAAAAGATAAAAAGAGTTCTGATTTTCCAGTTTCTAATTCTAGCCAATTCTGCAATTTGGTTATAAGAATCACTCTAATAACCTATTATAATGTCTTTTTGGCTAAAATGAGTCTGTTAAGATTTCTCTCATTAGCAACCAAGAACTGCTACTGACAGAAACCAAATAAATAAGAGACCGAAATATTAACCGACTCGTAATGCCCTACATGATCTTATCAGCCTGAAACAGCATCTCTCTCAACCCCCCTCACTTCAGCAGTGACAAAATGGCAGCCTTTAGTGGTTCTATACTTTATGTACTATGACTTATCTTTCACTTATCAGCTTACATGTTATATGTGCTCCTAGTATTTCTGACTTTACCTTCAGAGAACCCAGACTGGATTCCGAATATGTCAAGTCTCAAAGACTAGCCTCCCCAAGCTGAGCTTATATTCACATGCTCAAAATAAGAAAATTCTTATAGCAATTCTGTAAATTTCTTACCTCAAACGCCCATTCTTTTTCTTCTTCTCCATCCAAAAACAAACGTGTTTCTTTATAAACTTGTCCTATATCCAGGTTTAACGGGGATATATCGAATTCAAGCCGTTGCAATTCAAATCCTAATCCAACACCTATTGCTTTTATAAAGCTTTCTTTCAGTGCCTAAGATACAGACAGACATTTTCTCTTAGAGCTTTAGTAGATAAAACTGTTCATAAAATCTTCAACCCTCAACATGTATGAATCTTTAATTCTCTACTACATTACAACTATAAGCTACTTACTTTCACCTTTATAGCAGCACAGAGGCCAGCCAGCTGTGAAAGCTGAAGACAAACCATGTGGGCCCCCCATGCCTCCATCACCCCATGTGTAACATGCAATAACAACAGTGCCTTCTTCATGGGGTTACGACAACTAACTTATGAAGGGCTTACAGTAATGTCTTCTGGTACATAATAAATATTATGTGTTTTTTAAATAAGTTCTAATATGTATGAGATTCTTTAAGACAGAAACCACTAAACTCTACTAATAATGATAAATAAAATGTCTTATTTTAGCTTTAAGAGTAAGCATCTTCTAATTGAGTATTAAACATATGTTAAATTTTCTTAAATGTCATTATAATATATACATAAAAATCATGAAGTTCCCAAGTAGTGACTTATGTACTTCAAACACTGTACAAAATACAGGGTTACCAATGGACTTTTGCTCCTGCTTTTAACAACACAGGGGCTTACTCTCAAAACTAGAAAGAAATTATACCCAATTCCTATAAAACATATCCAGCTGAGTCCATTCATCCTTAAAGCTTCTGATTGTTTCCCATTCTTTGTTGGTAAACTTTCTTTTCATAATATGAAAAAATTCTGGAATCGAACCACGACCTGTCAAATGAGGAAATAGAGAATTACCAAACTGTTAAAGATAGCACACAAAAGGAAACAATAGTCCAACCTTACTTTCCAATACAGTCACAATTTTGCTAAACAAAGTATCAGCAAATCAAAGCAAGTTGAGAACTAGAAGGATAACAAACAAGACAAGCATGGGTTAGTCCAGAAGTAGAAGGGTGATTTAAGAGAATGGTGAAATTCTCTAAATTACTAAAGAATTAAGGAGAAAAAACATGGTTATATAAACAGATGCCCACCAAAAATTTGATAAATTTTTATAAATCTTAAAATAACTAGGGTAAGTTTGCTATATATGGTAGAATATCAGAAATCCAAAATAAGTACTATTGAAAAATAGAGTAACAGTGTCTTGGGGTTTAGAATTTTACTTTGCTATTTAACAGGAAAATCAGGGAACAATTTCTTTGTAATTTTGGAGGAACTGGTAGAAAGCTAAGAAGTGTTCTTTTAAGTGAATAACATGACTGGAAAGTTAATATACACTTATTTCCTTCACAATAACTGTTTTTAAACATGTATTCTAATATGATTTTTCCAAATAAAAACAGATTTTGACTTCTGTTCTATTGGCTCATTTTTAAAAAAATACTGTTCCACAGACAATAAAACATTACACAGCATCCAAAAAAATCAACAGAACTCAAAGAATCTGATTCCTACAATTAAGAGTTAAATTTCTAATTTATATATTACAAATTATAATATATAGTATGCTTTTCATATTACATTTTTCAAAATATTATATATTATCTTTACTACTAAACAGGAACCTTCTATCATCATCCATTTACTTACTCTACAATTATGCAGAATGTGTCCAAATATTATACCATTATGAACTGAACTAATGGTTAAAAACAAATCAGTCATGGTTCTTACTCTCACACAATTACAGCCTAAGTGGTCTATCAGAAAAATCTGGCAACAAGGTGCATGCATGCTAAGTCACTTTAGTTGTGTCTAACTCTTTGTGACCCCATGGACTGTAGCCCACCAGGCTCTTCTGTCCATGGGATTCTTCAGGCAAGAACACTGCAGTGGGATGCCATGCCCTCCTCTAGGGCATTTTCCCACCCCAGGGATCAAACCCAGGTCTCCTGCACTGCAGGCAGATTAGTTACTGTCTGAGGCACCAGGAAGCCCAGCAACAAGGCAGGTAAATCGTAAATGTTTACTACATGCATAAATGTATGTTAACTGTTACCTGGTAAATTAAATGCTCTACTGCCCTATATCCTTACTTCATGATTACATTACTTCCAGCAAGCCTCTTGAAATAGTACTTCTGCAGGTTCTGTTAACACAGTTTGTCTACTCCTGAACTTCCATTTCTAAAATACTTAACTTCAAAATCTGACATTCCCAACTGGCTGGAACTATAGCACGTCTGGAAAGAAAAAAGATGTCAAATTCCCCTACTTCATGTTTTACTGGTATTTAATCATTAACTAACCCCATGAGAATTCAACAATTAGAATGCACACTATATCATCAACTCCAAAAGTACCTTGTCCATGGTTATCTCAAGGGTAGAAAATATTAAAAACCAGCTCTTCCCCAGAATTGCCCATAATTCCCCCACCATCCCAACTCCGAAATAATAAAAATAGCCTCCTCTCATTTACATAGGAAATATTTCTAATGACCCTCCAATGATATGTGGTCCTTTAGTTCAAGGCAAAGATCCTCAATTACTTTCAAGTTCATCAGACTCATTTGATTTATCTATCTATTCCTTAGTCCTCTACTGTTCTCAAGAATGAAAACTTTACAATCCATTTTTATGAATCAACAAGTGTTGTTGGTATTCATATTAATGTTATAACGCTATCATTTCTGGGACTTTCCTGGTGGTCCAGTGGTTAGGACTTCGCCTTCCAATGCAAACGTTGCAGGTTCCATTCCTGGTCAGGGAGCTAAGATTCCACATGCCTCGTGGCCAGAAAGTCAAAACAGAAGCAGCATTGTAACAAATTCCATAAAGACCATAAAATTTTTTAAAAGGCAGATTACACACACACATACACACACAGCTATTACTTCCTAAAATAGCTCTGCAAAGCTGTAAAGTCATTTCATACGAAAGCAGTGAAATATTAAACTGGGATCTTAGGCATCCCGGGGGGATTCTAAACCTTTTGGGGCTATGAACACTCTTTGGTAGTCTGGTGTTTATTCCTTAAGCCCCTTAATAAAGAGTGTCTTGTTAAAATGCAAGCATCATAGTACATCCTGGCTTGACAGGTAAAACACTAAAGAGAGAGTAAAGACGGTAAGCTTTGTTTTTCCAAAGTGACAGAAGAAACTGATGCTCTTAAACTCTAGGGGCACTACGCACACACAGAAGCACATGAACTGCTTCTGCCGAACAGACTCTGCTACTGACAGGGTAAGCGACAACAACGCGGGGAAAGCTACCTGGAGTCTGGAAGACACCATTTTCTATTCTGAGCGGGAGGGAAAGTCCTTCAGTCCTGTGAGACTCCTTGCGACCCCATGGACTATACAGTCCATGAAATTCTCCAGGCCAGAATACTGGAGTGGGTAGCTGTTCCCTTCTCCAGGGGACCTTCCCAACCCAGGGATCGAACCCATGTCTCCTGCACTGCAGGCAGATTCTTTACCAGCTGAGCCACAAGGGAAGCCCATTTTGAATGGATCTGCAGCTTTAACAGAATACTATCCAAAAAAAAAAACCTAAAATTTTAACAGATATGCCTGTTCTCATCTATAGTATCATTATGTTTGTTGGTTTCTTTAAGCTATAATTTCATAACCTTCAAGAAGTCCTCTGATTTTTACCTAAATATGATGGGGCAATCAAGGAAAAAATTTAGTCATGCTAGTAAAAACACTCATTTAACATAAAAAAGCAATCTAGCACAATCACTGAAAAAAGTAATCATAACTGATCATGCACAGCTAAAAAAGAAATCTGCTATGACTGTTTTCATATACTTTTGAGAGCATCAGGTGGCACACAGACAAGAGACTGACAGCAACAGAAAACGGCTCTGTAAGCGCTCAGCAGAAGAGCCAGAGCGCCACACGGTGACTTCAGGGGCAAAGGCACGCGCTGGGTCAGCACTCTGTTAAGGGCTTAGTTTATCTTCGACATTGGAATTTAGAAAATCAGTAGGAAATATCGGAATAGAACACTCTCAAACTAGCTGAAGATGACACAATCATTAGCTACATCAACTGGCAAAGCCTCCAAGTAATACCAACATAATTCATGTCTATTACAACCTTCGATTTAATAGACAGGTATGAACTTAAGTACATAAAGTACATACATATAGATAAGATAACTGAAAAACTTGTATAGAATGAATCACTAACCAGGTTGAGAAAAACAGGATTCCCCCCGCTTACAGCTTAATCTTTAGGGAAAGCAGGACTAGATATTAACTAAGTGTTCTGCAATGATCAGTTAATCAGGGTCACACAGCAACTAAAAAAATAATTTATATAGTTGAGCCTTGAATAAGGTGAGCTTGAACTGTGAGGGTCTAGTTGTCCTAAAACTCATGCCCACACAGAAACTAAAAATGTGACCTTATTGGAAACAGAGTCTTTGCAGATCTAATCAAGTTAAGACGATGTCATCTTGGATTAGGTAGGTCCTATATCCAATGACTGGTGTCCTTTAAGGAGAAACATTTAGACACACAAGAGAATATACAGGGAAAAAGGAGCCCTAGGAAACTAATACCTAAATGCAGACAATTTAATTTATATATATACAGATACATTCATATACTCAACTTTATAGTGTTATGCTGCTGGAGTCAAATGTTCAAATCTTGGCTCTAACACTTCTTTTAACTTTTTATTTTGTATTGGGGTATAGGTGATTAACAATGTTGTGATAGTTTCAGGTGAAGAGCGAAGGGACTCAGCCATACACATACACATATCCACTCTCCCCCAAACTCCTCCCACCCAGGCTACCACATATTGAGCAGCGTTCCATGTGCTATACGGTAGGTCCTTGCTAGTTATCCATTTTAAATACAGCAGTGTGTACATGTCCATTCTAAACTCCCTAACTACCCCTTCCCCTCTTCCTCCTGGCAGTCATGAATTCATTCTCTTAGTCTATGAGTCTTTTTCTATTTTGTAAGTTAAGTTCCTTTGTAACATTTCTTTTTAAGAGTCCACATATGAGGGATGTCATACAATATTTCTCCTTCTTTACCTCACTTATTTCTCTCAGTATGACACTCTCTAGGTCCCACCAACAGTGTAGGAGGGTTCCCTTCCCCAATATTTACTTATTATATTTTTACTTATTTATTTATTTGGCCATGTCACACAGCATGTGGGATCTTAGTTCTCCAACCAGGGATGGAACCTGCGCCCCCTGCTGTGGAAGCCCAGAGTCTTAACTTCTGGGCCACCAGAGAAGTCCTCAGCATTTATTTCTGATGATAGCCATTCTGCCTGGTATCACTTCTTTACTATTATTTAACTACTCTATGGCTGTTTCTTAAGCTATAAGATAGGGGAAAGAGAGTTGGGTAGTTCAAGAAAGAAACAGATAAATGGCCTGGGCCTGGAGCTGCTGCTGCTGCTGCGTCGCGTCAGTCGTGTCCGACTCTGTGCGACCCTATAGACGGCAGCCCACCAGGCTCCTCCATCCCTGGGATTCTCCAGGCAAGAACACTGGCGTGGGTTGCCATTTTCTTCTCCAATGTATGCATGCATGCTAAGTCGCTTGAGTCGTGTTCGACTCTGCAACCCCATCGAAGGCAGCCCACCAGGCTCCTCTGTCCACAGGATTCTCTAAGCAAGAATACTGGAGTGGGTTGCCGTTTCCTTCTCCAGGGCCTGGAGCTAGTAAGTACTTAATAAATATTAGCTTTAAGGCTGTTGCAGTAATTGTTAAATATATATAACTCCTCTTTTGCGAAATGTTTTATCAAGCCCTTAGTCCATTCATTAGGTAAGTTTTAAGGGGCTTTTCT